TTTCTGGTTCCCAAAATGTTATAATGTTATCGAGTGTTGTTTGTGATACTAAAGAAAAGCACAAAATAAACACATCTGTTTCTTGATATAAACGTTGGCTTACTCTAAGATAGTCTGTTTGTCCGCAAGTGTCCCACAACTCCAACTTAATTGGTGTCGTTTCAACAAAGACGTTTTTATTATAAGTATCAAAAATATTTGGAATGTATTCGTCTGGGAATTCTTCTGTTACGTATGTGATCAGAAGAGACGTCTTACCAACACCTCCGTCGCCAACAACAACACATTTGATCGTTTGCATTGGATTGTTTGTTTTAATTTAATTTTTAATAAATAATAGATTTTACACTTGTTTATAATAATATAGTATAATGAATAATATTTTTTTAATAAATATAGTTCGCTGTATTTTTATAAACGGTAAGATGTTGTATAATTATTAATAAAAATACTATAAAAAATCTTATAATACTAAAAAATTAAATAAAAATTTACTTTAATTATATTCAGATTGAAAACACTTGTAACATATAAAAATATTCTTTAAATAAACATAATGTATAATTTAAATTGTATTTTGATGAGAAAAACGATATATATTAAAAATCTGTTATGGGTTTTGAAATAATTATAAGTGTTTTTTGGAGTAAAAAAACAAAAAACATGAATTTTGTTTATTTGTTTTTCTGAAATGTTAAATTATATATTATATTTTAATAGTTAATGTATCAACAACAAAAATACCGTAGTCTTATTTCCGTAATAATAAACATAAAAATTTTTTGTTGTATACATCTTACTACATCATTTTTACATATTTTAACTTGTAAAAGGCTGCATTTTGAATTAAAGCAAGTTTGGGAAATTTGGCAATGATACGAATTTATTGATTTAATTTGCCCTTAAAAGATACAGTAAAACTTCCCAAAATCGGTATCTCTAGAGCGTATTCTTTTAAGAGCTTGCATTTCAAAGACTAAAACTAAAAATAAAGTTCTCTATATATAGTGGTAATTTAGGTTTTGTTGGCTAAAAATGCCCACTCTTGAAAGAACAAAATTACCACACTTCCCG